TGAGGCCAGAGGGGATTCTAGTCAAATCGCAGCCTCCTTTCCCTTCGTGGTTTCAGGATAAACTGTTCTTGAGGCTGAACAGTTGCACAGAGCCCGAGGGACAGGCTTAAGTGAAGAGACAAGTGTCAGGGCCTCTGCAGAGAGGCATTCCCCTGTCCCCCTGTCCCCCGTCCTCCAGGACATCTGGTGGACCAGTTTGTCTTCCATCCTTTGTTACCCAGGCATCCCAAGGTGAGTCTGAGAGTAGCCACAGAAGGATCAGGAATTCTGGTTTGGGTCTGAGCTCTTCCCCATCAGGATCTGAATCTATTGCTCACACTGTCTGTCTCAGAACAGAGTCCAGTAATCTAGTACCTGCTGTGACGTCCTGGGGTGATTTCTTTTATCTTGGTGAATTAAGATAATTCTCCCAAGAAGTGGGGTAGCAACCAGTAAGATTCAGGGAAGAGACTGAGTTTTATGGTGGCTTTGACCTTTTTTATTTGGCTTTAAATTGCCCTTGAGGTTAAAAGTACAAATGGGTGGTTCTCCCCAACCTCCTTCGGACTTCATATTCAGGAGACTGTCTTGTCACCTGGGAAATTATCTCCATGTTCTTGGGGATAAAACTGTCTGTGGTAAAGGAACACAGAGAAATGGAGAGTGGATAGGGTAAAATGAAGAAATAACAAGGCATTGATGGAGGGATGTGGGCACGCATAGTTAACTAAGAGTCCCCTGGGGGTCAGCATGTGAAGCCAACTGGCTTTAGGACCCTGAGGGAGGCAGAGTCAGTGCAGATCTCTGGGGAATTATCTCTGTGGGAGAAGAGTTTGCCCTGTCCATGCCGTGCCTGCCATGCCTGCCATCTTGGTGGATGCTAGGGCAGGTCGAAGGAAGGAGGAATAGACGTGGGTGAGTGAATGCCAGCAGTACCGGAAAGTGCGAGCGTGGCATTGTCTTTATTAGCGCCAGCATGGTGCCCTGTATCTGGTCATCCACTGGTCAGTAGTCACCTCCATGAATTTCCTGGATTCAGCCAATCTGAAGTGCCACTCTACTGCGCAGCCAACGGCCAGTGTGTGCCTCATTGCTTCGACTTACATCCCAGGAGGGCGAGAGAGGAGAACCAAGCACGTCACTGGCCCTTGGCCATACGGGCTGTGGAACAAAGACAGGAAGGGAGAGGCGTCCCATGCCACCCTATTGGTGAAATTATTAAGGCCACTCCATGTAGTTTAAAGGGAGGTTTATTTAGTGGCGTAACTTACAAATGAAGGGATAGGTAGGTTGCAGGGTCTGGGAAAGGCGTGGCACAGCCCGGTGGTGTTCTCTGGAGAACTCTGCTCGGTCTATCTCCATCGTCCAGGCTCCAGGAACCAAGAGAGCTGGTGCATCCAGATCTCGGGTCTTCAGGGTCCTCTCTTGGCCCCGCCTTGTAGGCGGGACAGTTACCGAAGCCTCCATGGGGGTTGGAACTTCCAGATCAAGGTTGGAATTGCTACCCACTACACCACCCTTCTGTGGGAGCTTGCCCACTTTCAAGTGCTCTGGGCAAATGAAAGGGGAGAGCAAAGAAGATAAGAAGGCAGAGCTAAGAAACAGCCCAGCTCTCACCTCCTGACCGACTTACCCGCTCTTTCAGGTGCAGATCTGAGTCCAGGGCGAACCTGCTGAGATTTCCAGGGTCTTGTGTCCCAGAACAATAAATTAGACCGGGGACACATAGTAGTAGAATTAGAGTCAATTTATCAAGAAAGAAAAAGGCTTTTCTGAGTGTGGGAAGACAGAGGCTCGAAAGTCCAGTGCCTTGTGAGTTCTGGGCCCTTCTAGGGTGTCTACACAGCACCTGCCTCTCCTGTATTTGTATGCTGTGGGCGTTTTTCAAGCATGCTGTGCTTGTTACGTGCAGCCAGAATGATGCTTCTTGCTATGTCAAATGGACATCTACACACACCACCTCCACCACCGCCGCTGCCGCCGCCGCCACCACCACCACCACCACCACCCCAAAGCGGCCGTAGACCTTAATGCAAGAGCTGAATTTATAACTGGAAATCTTAGATCAATCTAATCTTGGCGACACGGGCTGTGTAACTTGTTCTTAGACATACCACTGAAAATAGAAGCAATCATAGAAACAGACTTCATCAAAATGAAAAACCTTTATGTTTTAGAGGACATCCCAAAAATTAGAAAGACAGCCCTAAGGTTAGAGAACTGTTTTAAAAATGTTGTGTTGGTCACTCCCCTGCCCCCTGTGGCGTGGGGACACTGCTGCTGGCCCTTGCAGCAGTCTGGACAGGGAGTGCAAGCTGACAGACGATAGCTCCCTATCTGAGGAGAATCTGCAATCCCGAATATGTAAATGACATAACTCAACAATAAAAAGACAAATATTCAAAGTGGCCAAGGGCTGGCAAGATGGCTTGGCTGGTAAAGGGGCTTGCCACCAAGCCTGACAGCCTGAGTTTCCATGGGGGACCCCGTGACCCACCTGGTGAGAGGAGAGAACAGATTCCTCAGGTTGTCCTTAGAGCTCCACACTTAACACGTGTGCAGCTGCCCCTTAAAACATACTCATTTTTTCATTGGTAAAGTCTTTGAGTAGACATTTTCCTAAAGAAAATAACCAAACGGCTGGTGAGTGCTGAACAGCGGCCCATCCGTCTGTCTGTCCAGTAGTAGAGAAATGCAGGTCAGACCCACAGCGAGGCGCCACCTCCACCCTCAGGAACACGGTAACAAGGGAGAGCTTGCGATCCGCAGGCACTGTGGGTGGGAACACACACTCATGCCATCACCCTGGAAGAGAGTTTGGTGACTCCTTAAAATACCAAACACAGTTCCCACACAACCTAGTGATTTTCCTCTTAAGTGTAGCCAAGATAAGTGGAAACATATGCGGCTGTTCATAATAATT